CTAATAACTAATAAAATACAAATATCAAATAACAAAATAATACTATGATAAAATAATAAAATAAAACTGTTCTATAACAGTATAGTTTAATCTCAATAAAAAGTGGCAGGACAGCCGAATTATAAAAAAAAAAAATAGAACAAACAAACTAGCAAAATTAGATTTTAAAATAAAAATAAAGATAGAATTATAAAAAAACTCTTTTAGGTGTCAAACATTACTTTATGTTAGAAAGAAACAATAGTAGAAACCTTCATATAAGAGTTTCTGCAAACAATCCTTAACTTCAAGACAGAAATAAAATGAAAATCCTTAATTGCTATAAGAAAGATAGAACTCAAAGATGATATACAGACCTGATATTAACCTATCTTATAGAAAAGATCAGAAACTAAAGTGGAATAAGTTATATAAGTTCAAGAAAAAACAAATGTTTAGGTATTTTAATATTAAAAAGACAGAATTAATTTTAGAAAGAAGAAGTAAACAAAATCAAATCAAGAATAAAGTTAAAAAAAAAAATGAGAAAAATAAAAAAAAAATAAAAAAAAAATACTTAGCTTGATATTAAAAATTTTATTAAAAATAAAACAAAGATATTTTAGTATAGTTTTACAAGCTAGCTTAGTGCAACCCTCCGATATGAGCAAAGCATTTTAACTAATGAAGCAGAACATTTCTAAGTGCCCATTAAGGTAGCTAGGAGATTCAGATTTATAGTTTAGATAGTTTTTTTTTTTTCTCTTTAACTAGCCTCTTTGGAACTAAGGTTTTTATTCAGGTATTTATCGAGTGAGGGGCTTATCCCAACCCCATATATTAGAGAGTACATTCTAGCCATACCTGCGCCTTTTGAGCATCTAATTAAGTATCTACCTATTACTAGATTCTACACTAGATGTTATACCTATAACTCACTATTACTTGAGCTATCCAATTAAACCCTCTGTAATGCAACTCTACCTGTATCACCATTATATCTTTATGAAGTTTCGGATGCTCACCTATATCCTTAGGACTAATTTATCCTCAAGACATTGTTGCTAGAGCTATCCATACCCACAATCTGGTTAATCTAGACTTTCGGTAACTTACACTAAGTCTAAGAACAAGTACTTGCAAGCTGAGACCACTACCATTACCTACTACTGCCCTTATAAAGTTCACCTAAACCCTAGCACCTACTATAAGAACTATCCCCTATATACCCGTCATTCTAAACTTCCAATTCAGATGGTCCAGAAGGGCTGTGACCTGCCCTTGGTCCTTACGGTTGGGTCCTTTTCCTCCGGTTACTTTCTGGTGACTAGGTTGGTGAAGTGCTTTGCCAGACACTTTGGTCCTGTTCGGTTTTCTGATTTCTGATTAATAATCCTTTATGTAGTACCATCAAAGATCCGTGCTATCTTTCTATTCAGGTTTTGCCAAGTAGACTTCTGTACCCTGTAAATTTGCTGGATTTATCCAGTAGCTTCACTTGGGTTTTGTATAACTTGTACATTATACTACATATTCTACTATCTCCTAGTACAAGCTGATACGATCATCATTACAGATTCTATAACCCAATAGGATATAGTCTTCCAAATGCATTTTCTTAAATTCGAATTTTCATTGCCAGTGGGATTCGAACTCTAGTCCTGCTGCTTGGAGGTGTGACAACTTGCCAACTTTACTAAGTTGCCACACCTTTAGTTTAGATAGTTATATATATATATATATGCTTTAATCTAATAAAGATACTGATAAAGCATCAATAAGAAAAAAAAATTATTATATTGGCTCTTTATTATAATTTTAATAAGCCTAAAATTATTCAAATCTAATCTAATAATCACAGAATTAAAAGATAAAGCTATGATCAAATAAAGACACACTTCATATGTTGAACAATTGGTTAGACTTGGTCTAATCAATTGTTTGATATATAAAATGTATTCTTATTTGATTATAGCTTTATCTCTTAATTTTGTAATTAGATTTGGATAATTTTAGACTTGTTAAAATTGTAATAAAGAGTAAATATAATAATAATAAAATGATTTTTTAAAAACTTGTAGATTAAAAGTTATTTACTTTTAAAATTTTAAAAAAAGCAACTCCTAATTTAAATTCCAAAAATCAAAGTATATACAGTATATTATAAATGTATTTTTTTTTTAGCTAAAGCATAAAAACAACAAAAGTAAAGCCTTAAAAAGCTTTAGTACTAAAACTAACTTAAAAGCCTACAATAAAATTTAAGAAGAGCTATTTTTTTAAAATTACAGTTTTAAATTTTTATAAACAAAGGCCAATTCATCACAAAAGCTATTTTTTTGCTAAAATACACGTGGCATAATAACAAAAGTAAAAATTTCATTAAGAAAGTTTTAAAGTGCTTTAATTAATTACATTTTTAAAACTGTAACTTTTTTTGTTGCATCGTGATTATTATTTTTTCCATTAAAATTGCTAGAAGAAAAATGGTTAATACACGAGATGAGCCAATTTTTTTGAGCATAATTTTGGCTAGTAAATATGCTTCGATTTCGCCGATCCCATTTTATGCATAAATCTAGCTATACTATTATTATTGTATCTCACATGATTTTGATTAATTAGTATATGCAGGACCCCAATATATTACGTATGCAGATGCTAGTAATAATCAAGTTCAAGTCACTACGTATATATAGACTATATATAGATGTCTCATATACATGTAGTACGTACTATATTTATGGCAAAGTAATCTTTAACTCAGGCATGCAGAACCTCGTCTATTGCAGTATTGTGTTTATACGTAAAAATTTAGTTCCATGAATTTGAAACAAACAATAACGATAACATTCAGTGTTCTAACAAAAATTTTTCTTGCCAATGAGATTTAACGTAGATAATCACAAGGCTGCGGATCTCTTATTTATGTAAGAAAAATCAGACTAAATCTTGTGTTGCAGACCTCCGGCAAAGTCATTTTAGGCTTATGCAGGTCCCAGGCGTTTGTTTACCAATCATACTTCAAAGTTAAATCAGCCAATAATCACTCAGAACTTCTGAATTCATTCTTTGCACAAGACATGTTCTTAAACTTTAAATTTTAATACTATATTTTAAGCAATGGACCAAAAATCAGTTGATCCAAAATCGTTCATTCAAATTAATATCCCATCTAAATCGGCGAAAAGACGTAGTAGTAACAGCAATTCTACAATTCCCACATCATTACAATATAACAAACACGATTTACAAAATATAAAAAAAGAATTAAAAACTAACAGCAGTAGTGCAGCAGCGAGAAAGGTACAACTTGAAAGTTTAATGCAACTGTTGAGCAACTTGCCTAACGTCGGTCCAAATAACAGTGCGACGGGTGGAGGCTTTAACGGAAGCATCATTCATGGTGGTGTTGTGGGAAAACTCGGAGGATCAACTGGTACGAGACCTAAAAGCCCTAAGAAAAGTGGAAGTCCTAGTATACACAGATTAGGAAGTCCTTTCAGTCATAGAACAGGAAGTCCTAGCATTCATAAAACGGGAAGTCCTAGTATTCATAAAAGTACATCAAAAGAAAAAGGTTCTAAGAAAAGAGGCTCAAGTATTAAAGCTAAAAAAGATGATTCAGGTACTCTTTTATACATATGTATTTGAAAATGAATTATAAACATTAGGTTTTTTAATTTATTAAATATAACTTACCTAGATCAGGACGAATATATACCTACTCAACGAAAGGAGTCAATTTCATCTAAATAATTAATGTATTGTTGATAACCTGATCTTGCCTTAACTTTTTCCAATAAGACTCTTTT